TCACCACATTTATTTTTACCTTTCATTTTGCTTCTCTTGAGAGTTTTCTTCTAACTTTCTCCTTGCCTTTCCCAGGGTTGGCAAACGATGTGAATTCTCTGTGAAATTTCCAACAGGGTCCCCTAAATGTGCTGGGATTAGATCTATGTCATTCTTTATCTGCTCACAACACAAGTTCAATGCAGCAAAGCAAAATAAAATAAAATGGTCTGATCACTGTGCCTGCTATACTGCCCAGTAACATGGTTTCCTCTGAAAGGAATGCTCAATTTGCCACCAAGCCAACAGCTTTTAACCTTTTCTAGGGGAGAGTTATACCTAAATTTGAACAGATCTTAAGAAGAAATTTGTTATCTAAGCTATTTCAGCCTACAGTTTAAACACAAATCCATGTCAAGTACTCAAAATAGTAATAAATGTTCCTCTTTTTCACTTTTGAGACTCTGAAAACATTTTCCTTTTCAGAGCTATAACTGAATACAAGTGTATGGGAAGCAGTGCTCTTAAGCTTAATATTAAGAGCCAAATCCTCACCTACTGAAACTTCATATGGTTGATTCCTTCACTGGAGGAATGCTGATTTGCACAGATGAGAACCCAGGTTTAAGTGTTTTATTCTATCAGCAGACTAAGAGAAATTGGGTTGTTTTGCTGAGACTTCATCTACAGTGCAGTAACGGTTATCAAAGCAAGGCAGATATTGGGAATTTCACTTTGCAAGACAAATATTGTACACGTGTAGTTGTAACTCAGCATAAAAACATTCTATCAAGTTTCAGCTCTGAAATTAAAAAGCACATTTACTCTTTTTTCCATTGCAATAGGAAAACATGACATACTAAGAAACAAGAGCAATGCATTCTTCAGATTGCAAGCAGATTGCCCGTGGATTGCAAGCAAATAGAAGAAACAGAGTCACAGTTTTTGTATGAAAATAAAGTCATTTCTAAACTAATGGATTGACAGAACAAGACGCACTACAGGTGCTGTGCCACAGATGTCACTTTCGCGAAAGTTCATCAGCAAAAGAGCACGATAAAAGGAAGGTATAGGCACTCAATTTCCATTTCATGTACAACCATCTTTGCAATGTAAACATCTCAGAGGAACAGGAATATTTGGGGTCATACATTAATCCTTTCTTTAAGCACAATGAGGAAATTCTGTTTGAAAATCAAGGGCATAGTTTGGTCTTCAAAGTTTTCAGGAATTTTTGCAGTTTTTCTGCTTCAGCTTGTCAGATATTAATAGTAAAGGGTCAAATCTGCAGGTGGTGTAAATGAGCACATCTTTATGAGAGCTCTGAGCTTATGCTCATTTACATCACATTGAAGTTATATTTCTCACTTCTGTGAGTAACTACACATGTACATATATATGCATGTGTGTGTTGAATACATATTATATAGAAAGCAAATGCTTTGATCTGTCAAAATGAAGATATAAATATAAAACAGGAGACAGGGTATGGAAATCATACATTCTGCATTTACTTTGAAAAACTGAAAGTTATGGGGAAAGAAACATTGTTTATGTTCAAGGAGAACTCAGTGATTTGCTTAAATAATCTAAAACCAAACCACCATCACATGAAAGATTTAACAGCTTCCTGTCATATTTTACACGCTCAAGCTATGACTTGCTAACTTTTATATAAACAGTTACTAGACAGTGAAGGATCCACTGTGGATTCCTACTTTTACAGTGTAGACCCTGGTGCAGCAAACCACTGAAGATGGTTATATTTAAGTAACTGAATAGTCCCAGGGAGTTTAGAGAGCTCACTCACCTGATTAAAATTAGTCATGTGTTTAATTTGAGATGTGCATTTTACCTCCATTGTTTATCAGCAAAGCACTTCAACCTGAGCGTAAAGCAGCTGCTTTCTATAGGGCTTACACACATGCTTAAATACCTTTCTGAAATAGGACTGTGTGGTTTGACTCTTCAAGACCCTGATTGTCTTAGATGTAACGCTACAGAGCATTCAAACAGGTGTCATATTCTATGCATAAGAATCAGTGAGACCCAACATTGCTTATAATTTAAACCACACTTCCAAACCATACAGTACTGGCAAGACTAAGCCTGGAGGAGAACATTGAATATGGAGAATGTTAATCACCAAAATATACTGCATTCATAATTTATTCCATAAATGCATTTCAGTCCAAATTATTCAGTACAGTGGTTTAGACTATATGAAAAAGCTCTAATAAGTTTTGTGAAAGCAATGATGCCTCAGTAAAAGAGGGTTTCAGTTCCCTTCTCTGAGCTTTGCTGCAGCAAATAAATAGCATGCTTTGTGGGGAAATGGACAACCTCTGATAAGCTTGTTTGTTATAACATTGGTGCAGAGCTAGCAAAAGTGGCTCTGCTGCCATGAACCAGCAGCTTACAGCAGCCCTTCACCATCCAGAAGAGAAGATGAGGCTGGGCAATTGCCCAGTGCTGCTAAGGTGGCTGAGTGAACTGGTCACCCGCCTGTGCTCTAGAGGATGCTCAGGTGAGGGACCACTGCCTCCCTGCTCTGGTACTGCTGGGGTGGGAGCACATGCTTCAGCTAAGCCCTAGCTTGCAGACTGCAGTCTTGTAGCTACACAAGCATCTCCTTGCACCTCATCCAGAGCATGTCCCTCTTAAACTGGTAATAAAAATGAGGAATTTTTTGAATGTAAATAGTTGCATACTTTCTCCTAAGCATCTTTACAACTATCTAGGTGTGCTTAGTCTTTCTGCACAGCTATTTCTGACATAGCTAATTAGTGTATTCATGGAAGGTGGGAAAAATCAGGGGAAGAAATGTCTATTTTTTCCTGCAGCCATAGTTTTGTTAAGATGATAAGAAAAAGGATGAAGAAAGAAAAAAAAAATACCAAGCTTGTGCAGGCCACATCTCTAAACAGGATAAATCTAATCAGTTGACTAGTGCATTATTCATTTTTAATTAGTTTGAAGAAAATAGTGCAATGTGCGCCAAGCTGCAAAATAGCACTGTCTTCACAAGGAACCAGCTTGACAACAGAGACAAATTAATCCCTGCAAGAGTATTCCTTCTGTAAGCTCACCATCAATATTGCTCATTCTAAAAGTAGTATGCTGAGTATGCTCTTCTGTTAGGGTCCTTTTATAACACAGTTTGACTTTTCTTCCCTACCACTTAAACTAAAAATATAAAGTTTGTGGATGTTTATAATCTTGTAAATATAACTATTGTGTAATTATGCAAATCAGATTAGGAATGGTCAGTGGAATGTTTATCCAAAAGCCTGACCCAGATTGTCTGCTGACCTTCTTGAGATGCAAATACATTTTTACATCTGTTCAAACACTATTTTTCACCTTTAAAGCAGGCAGTGATTTTGCTGCACCTAGATCTACAGTCTTTTCCAAATAGCAGTGTTCTAATAAAGTGAAGAAATCCAGCCACAAGGAAGAATTACAACCTAGCTATAGGGATACATTTGAGAAGACATTAAATTATCCCATTTCTGAAAGATAGTGATGGTCCATTAGCAACAGTGGGCAGAGGGGGGCAGGGATCAGCTATCTTGGCCATTTGAACTAGTCTTTGGGAGGGAAACAATGTGTTTTGGCTTTGTTTTGATTTTTTTGTCATATGAAATTACACTGGTAATATTTATAGAATGAGACATTAAATTCATTATACAGATATGTCCTCTGTGTTTCACAGACAAAAAAAAAAAAAAAAAAAAAAAAAAGGATTTTTAAAGCCCTTTTTTCAAATATCATGACTAGACTAAAAGCCAAAAATCTTTCCATTTAGGTCCCAGTTGTTCTATTTGCATGTTGAAAAAAAAAAAAAAAAAAAAAAAGAGGCATTTTACAGCCATTTCTACCAAGATTATAGATATGGCATTAAAATGTTTCTCTTTACAAAATCGATGGAAAAAAAGCAGAGCTGTGCTTATAGTCATGAGCTTAGCCTTGTCATTCAGGGATATAACTTCAACAGAGAGTGTTGCATCCATTATGCAGCAAATTCCTTGAAATCTTAAAGAAAGAGACAGCACTAGAGGGCACGGTCACTGCAACGCCCTTATCCCCTGCCCACTAGAGCTCTTCCTTGTCTCACTCTTTTCAGCCACGGGTTCCTCTCCATTTTCAATCATGTACACAAGTCACAAAAAAGCTGATCAGTTTTTCTTAAAAGCTTTCCCCCTTACCTGAAACCTGTTGTTTATCAAGGCATTTATATATATAATATATTTGGCATATATTATATATATATATATATAAAACAAACTTATATAACATATTATATATATAACAAAACACAGATGGTTAAATAAAAAGCCACAGAGCACAGCAGACATATAAAAACACAATTCAATAATCCTGTGCTTAAACTTAGAAACCGTGTGGAAGTTTAAATCCTTGTTAGAAGGAAAAAGTTCTCTTTTTTTGTTGTTGTTTGTTTATTTGTTGGATTTTAGTTATAATTCACATTTAAAACATTTGTTACTGCTATGCTAATACCAGCTGTTAAATTCTCTGAGTGAATTGCCATCTTGACTATAAAATTGTGTTCTGGGGAAAGGAGAGATCTGAGCGTGGTGAACTTTTCTGGCAAGTAACGGATTTTTTGTTGTTGTTGTTCTTAAAAAAAAAAAAAACAACAAACCAACAAACAGTAAGGGAATAAGTATTGAAATCCATGGGAAAAAAAAAAAAAAAAAAAAGTACGGCCCTCAGTCCCAGTAACTGGTCTTCTTTGGCACTTGAGAACGATCACAAGTAGTTTGCCTTTTTATTCATATAGAACAAAATTTACAAAGTCATTCATACATTTTTGTTTTGTTTTGTTTTTTTTTTACTGACTTTGAAAATTGGGAATATTCAAAATACACTTTTACCCCACTTCATTCTTTCATTATTTACAGGTATATACAAGAAACGTGTAAGAGTTTGTTTTGTTTTTGTTTCTTTTAAATTTTGTATTAAAAAGCTCTGCTGGTTGTTTTACTGTTTGTTTTTCATCATATGGATGTTCCATGCGAGGGCTCCATTGCTTCTGGAATGACTCCCCCCGGTACAGACTGAAATGACATTGGGATCGGGGTTTTCACAGGACTCTGACGAAATAGTCCTCCATTTGGCGATCTGTGTTTACACTGTATGGAGGGCATGGTGGCTGAGCTGCTCAGGGGCAGCGGCAGGTTGCTGCCGGAAGCAGCTGTGAGTGTCCTGCTGGCACCATGAGTTGTCTGTTCTGGTAAAAATGTGGTGACAGAAAGTTGCGTGTTCTGGTATTCACGAACTGGCTCCAGGGTCTGAGTTGGCTGCATGCCACCAATCTCCAAGGCTGAGATTTCAATGGACGCTGGAGAGATTTGCTTGTGGGCTATGTCTTCATCAATTAAACTGTTCATGCGTCTATGGACCTGCTCCAGGTTCACTTCTTTGTCCTAGTGAGGAAGAAACCAGAACAATCAGTCCAAACACAATCTCCAATCCCATCCAGCCCCCCTCCACTTCCTCTGTGTGACAGGAGCTGCTGTACGTTCATTACATCACTTCGATTTCATCTGTGCCTATGCAAAACTTCAAGGTCTCCCCAACACCTCCAGCTGAGAAACATATGCTGAAGAAAACACCAGCTCAATCTTGACCTGCAAAAGGCCCTGAAGTTGTCAATCCCATCCTCCTTAGAGGTAAACCCATGGCTCTGGTTCAGCTAACAGGAGCTGGCACCTGGGACCAGCACATTCCGCAAGCCCTTAACTCACCTCACACAAGCCCGGGAAAAAAATATATAGCAGGCAAACAAGTGAGCTGGGGCTCCAAATTTCAGTGAGCAGCTTGCCACCTTGAAATCACAAGACAGCTCACCACTGTCTCATCTAAGTGCAGTGCATTTTCTAAGGAAGATATCAATAAAATACTGTGCACAGCTTGGTTGACTCCAGGGTAATTGCTTCACATGCCAAAGACAGGGGTTGTGGTGGTGAAGTCTTCCCTTCCCAGCAGGAAGCCTTGGGTCACCTATGTGGGATAGAATATTGACCTACTGGAAAAACACTAAGAGAGATCTAGTCTGGGAGCACTGGGGAGAGCACAGCTCCTTTGTGTTTTGCATAGTTATATGAGTCCCAGAGTGGTGTCTTGAAAGGACTTTCAGCACAACTTGCTCAACATGTTTTAGCTACTGGGAGGAAATACAGCCAAAAAAATTATCTTTAAAACCTGAAGCAGCAAATGGGCTGTTTATCACCTCAGTGCAGCATTCAGGATGCTCAAATTGGAAAGCAACAAAACTGGCAGGCCAAAGGCAACCACCTGAGATGTTGTATGACTGAATTCTAATAGCTAGAATTGTATGCTCAATAAAAAGATATTATATAATTTCTCTTAATTTTATGAAGCATAGCTATGATCTACAGTTGCAGTTACTTGATGCAAGTATAACATAGAGCAGACTAGCAGCAAAGTATCTATAAAAGACCAGCAATTCTGGAACTAGAAAAATTCCCTGGTCTGACAGAAAACTGTAATGACAATGGGCAGCCAGCAAAATCCCAGCCTAGAAAGTAGGACTACCTGAAACTTTTGTGTTCCAGTAATCCTCAATTGCCCACAGGTCAACGTGTGCTTAGATCTTCATCAAACCAAATAACAGTAGCCTTACAGATGCTCTAATTCATGCAAAAAAATATGGTCTGGGAACAGAGAAGTATAAGGTGCTACTGCCAGCCACCCCTTATGGTCTTTTGACACTGCTGTTCAGGCGGAACACAGAGAATTACAATGTTATTCCAGTGGTACCCACTACTGTGCAACTTTGTTTTCACCTGTAAACTGACAATCAAGTCAACACCAAAGCTTTTGATTCCAGTCAATGTCAACTACATATTTGATAATAAGCTTGTGATTTAACATCACACCTATCTTACTCAAGAACCATTGGATTTGCTGAACTCTGCATGGATTTGGAAATGAATTAGTGTTACATGATGATGAACCCAAACTTGTGTCCTTAGCTTAGGCTAAATCCTATTGATTTCAATGGAAGTACAATTGTTCAGCAATTACAGAATTGAGGTGCACGTTGATCCTCTTCTGCTAATCAGTAGAAAATGAATTCCTGTTTCATTTACATCACAAATCCACCAAACTCCTAATGAAGCTCCCAGAAACCCTGGGGATATCATCTTCCTCAACAGAGAAACAAAACATTTTTTAAAAAAATACTGTTTTTTCAGACAAATCCTCTGATCAGATAATTTTGAGTTAGAGAAAATGAATGGACAATAAAAAAAAAAACAAAACCAAACCACTTTTGTGGCAGAAAGGGACCACACAATGCTTGATCAGATCACCACTGCTGCCGCCTTAAGTAAGTCCTCCTTGCCAACAGCCATACTTGACTTGTCAGGCTCTCCATTCAATAAGTTAGACAATGTGCCAAGCTGATGATAACAGACTCTTTCATAAACTCTGTAGCTAGGTAAATTAATTATTTGTGATATAATGGCCTGAGGATTACAAGGATTTCATTCACAATTTTATTTGTTTCTATTTCTTGAAGTGAAATTGTGGACTGGGGGCAAGTGTGAGAAGTGTTCTTAGATTATCCCCTGTTGGGAGTAAGAGCTCTCCCTCCATGGGAAGGCTCCCTTTGCACAGCCAGCTAACCATGTGCTGCCAACCAAAGCGTGCTGCAAAGTTCTGTTTATCCATAAACATCAGTTACTGCTGTGTCTGATGATAGTGTGTCTAAGGAAGCTAACTCCCAGAAACACATTATATAATGCTTCTTCAGATACCTTGTACTAATTCTTTTCTCAAAAATGCTGTTAGCTTTGATTTAGACTCCTACATTGTCACTGTAGTTATCTGGGACCCATACTCTTGCTAAGCTCCTACTACAAAACTCAGAATAAATAGAAAACTCAAGTTAGAACTGAGCAAATGCTAGGACAAATTTTCCTAAATAAGACTTTGGAGAAATGTTCATGACTCATTTGCATTTTTCTGAGCTTTTGACAAATATTAATAATTTCTTCAGATAATTTCAAGTGAAAATATACATCAGCATTTTATTTGCATTTGTATTTTTTGATTGGAAGTCCATCCTCTGTGCATTCAATCCCACTTTGCTACAAGAACAAATACAATGTGACTGGGATAACTAGCCAAGCCAGGGTGAATGATAGAGTTTCAATATTTGCAACATGCTGTCATTAACCGTTTGCACAAGAAAACACATCGGTGAATGAAGTGTGCTCTTCATTTGGAGCATCTGTGCACAAAAGGTCATAAAACTCAAAGGATGAATGGTTATATATTTACCTTAGCTCTTCTAAGATATAAACATGAAGACATCTCATGGTCCAGACCAGAAGAGTTATTAAGGACCACATTGTTTGGAAAGCTTCCCTCTTCTGGCCTAACAGGATTGCCCTCTTTTCTCATACTGTGCACAGTCCCGCCTTGGGACACCATTCCTCAGAAAATGGTGGATTTGCAGTTGTTTGTGTTTTACAGTATAAACTTATGTTTTGCTGTGCTAAAGTTTTCATCATCAAGAAAAAGAAAAACATAATACGCTCGCACAAATATTTCATCTAGTACAGAATACATTCTGAAGAAGTAGAGAAGTAAATGTTTGGGATTTTTTTAAGAGGTAGGGTGAGGATTTCATTTGCCTACTTTTATCTCCTTTTTTTTCAGCATTCAGTACAACTTTCTGGCCTTATTAATATCAGAGAAAACTTTTTAAAGGCTTCCACAAGCCCGGAAGTTCACTTTATTCCTTCCTTTTGTTGTTAAAATAAAATGTTTGTAAAGGTTAAGGAAAATTCCACAAGCCCGGAAGTTCACTTTATTCCTTCATTTTGTTGTTAAATGTTTGTAAAGGTTAGGGAAAACATCTCTGTCTCTGAGGAATAATAAAACCATATTTTTATAAGTTCTTCTCTTTTTCTTTGTCTGATTAGATGAAGAGCAGTTAAATAACTAAATGTCAAGCTTTGTAGACAAATATCTTAACGCTGAATGAAAGATTTTCCAAATGCTTTAAAAAAAACTCTAAGATAAAAATTAGAAACCCTTGAAAAGATTAGTTTGTTGTTGCATACTAGAAAGCTTCCTTGAATCCCAAGCTTTCCAGAACCAAAGGTTTTGGGATAGCTTTATTTGACAAGCCAAGCTTTCAGAACTTGTAAATTCTGTAAACCTCATCTTTCTTTTACTTCATTGTTCTCCTGGAAAATTCAGTAACAAAGCGTATGTTACTGAAAAGTAACAAGGTAAGTGGAAAAATGTTGCAATGGCGATAAAGCTAGAAAAACGCTTTTTAAAATTTATGATGTTTTTCTCCCTTGTCAGTTCTCCTTTATTTTTAGTTCTATAATTCTCATTAAATACAAGCCATTTGTTATACATTTTAAGCACTTAGTTAGGTTACATTTCTTTTCCTTTCCTGAGGCTTCGTCCCCTTAATTGCGAAATGGTAATGGAGCATTGCAAAAGGTTTTCAAGCTTTCTGATGCTGTAACTGTTCTCTATTTTTGCATTTTTCTATGAAAAAAAAAAAAAGAATTAAAATTAGTAAATATAAATTAATAAATATAAATTAATAAATTAATGAATGGATACTGTAGATATGGAATGGCAGAGAAATCAGACCTGGCAGATGTATGGAACAAACAGGAGCCATAGTAGAGGTTGGTGTGATGGCTTTCTAGCACAGAGACTTCCCTTACCAAAAGGAGAGCCCCTCGGGGGAAATCTGACTGCTTCTCTCCAAAGGTTTCTGGCTTCAGCTCCATTTAGCTCTGGTGTGGCCTCTTCAAGAGATGAATGAATGAGCTCCAAAGGTAATACCTCAGTGTCCGTGACAGATACTTTACCAAAGGTTCCTCCTCTTTCTTTTTTCTACTTAATATGCAAAACTTAGGTAATATTATAAATATGTCACATCTCAGATGTGTCTTGCCAATTCAACTTCACTTTTCGTATATAGCTACATTGGATAAATGTGTAGGCTTGTTTTGCCAGAAAGAGATATTTTTTCTTTACTACCTTCATAATTCTATTTTCAATATTTATGTTGTACTCCAAATAGATCAGTTGAAGAAATTAATCAGTGAAGGGAAGAAAAAATATCACATGTAAGGAAAAATAGTTTTAAGCACAGGCTTATTCTCCTCATAGTTAAGGAAAACAGTTAATCAAACATTGCTTCTGGTCAGGAAATGCTGCTATTCATAAATAACAATGTAAATGTCTTTCTTTCTCAATGAGTTTGAGTTCTGGAAGGATGAATGAAGAGGGTGTTTTGATATGTCCCAAGCACCTGATTATGAGCAGCAGGTCCAATGGCCTATGACTGACAGTAGGAGCACACCGTGGCAATTGTTAGCGTGAATTTGAAGGACACTCACCAGAATTATCTGGGAATGAC